TCAGGGAGACCCTGTCTCTAAATAAAAAATAAAAAGGGCTGGGGATGTGGCTCAGTGGGTGAGCACCCCTGGGTTCAATTCCCAGTACCCCCCCCAAAAAAAAAATAAACCCTCAGTACAGGTCTTACTGATTCACCAAATGCACCGATTGCCAGAGAGGAAGACATTGAATGTATTGCTAATGTATTTCTGTGTAATAGATTCTACCCCAAATTAGCCATCAATAGGCATTATCTCAGAAAGTCTGAGCTGGCTGGCCCTGCCTGGGGGTCTTCATGAGGTCAGGGAGGGTCCTGGTCATTCCAGAGGGGCCGGATGACCTGCTTCCCAATGGCTCAGTGGGCACGAGGCCCCAGTTGCTCCCGTGGGGACTGCTCCAGAGGGCTGCTTGGGCACCACCACCACAGGGCAGCTGCTCACTCTGGAGCCAGGGGTCCAGAGAGAGCAAGGAGACAGCCTCTGTGCATGTCCCAGCCCCCCTGGTCACCTTTGCAATGGCCCGTTCAGTTCAGGTGGGGACCACAGAGAGTGCATTCCAGGGATGAGCAGGTCCTGGAATCCACAGGAGGCCGGCCTCTGCGTGGCTGCTCCCTGGTGGCTGTGGAACCGAGCACCTGAGGAGGATCGATGGCCGGGATGCGGCAGCGCTAGGCTCTGCGTGGCTCCGCATCCTAAGCTGGTTTTATCAAACCAAGAGTCTCCACCAGTGAGTCCCGGGGTCTGTGGAGGATCGGGGTGAAGTCTCCCTATGAGAAGAGTGGCCGCCTCTCAGGGGATTCAGACAGGTGTTGCTTCTTTGGTGAGGGTTTTTCTCCGATGTGTTCTTTCTTCCGACATTGACACGGGTATCCCGAGCCGGAAAGGCCCCGTCCCCTCTAAGGGTGCTGCTTCTGTTTTGAAGAGGTTTCAAGGAACGACTCCTGCTCCGACCTGCCCGAGATCCAGAACGGCTGGAAGACCACGTCGCACACGGAGCTGGTGAGGGGGGCCAGGATCACGTACCAGTGTGACCCGGGCTACGACATCGTGGGCAGCGACACCCTCACCTGCCAGTGGGACCTCAGCTGGAGCAGTGACCCCCCGTTCTGCGAGAAAAGTAAGAACCCTCTTGTTTCCTTCCCCAAAGTCGGTGGGTGGTGGGTCCTGGCCTGTTCACGGGCTCAGCCGCCCCCTCCCTCCACTCAGGCTGATCTGTGGGTCCCCGTGAGCGCTCAGCCTCAGAAAACCGGAAGACGTGCAAACGAGTGAATGGGTTGGAGGGGAGACAGGAGGGAGTGGTGGGGACTGCGGTGAGAGGAGCAAGCGGCCTGTTCAGAACCAGCACCCAAACGCAGGTCCTCAAATCACCTGGGCCAGCAGAGAAAACGAGCCTGGGACGCCCTGAGACAGGAGCTCCGTCCTGACCCCGCGTCCCGTGGAGCTCACTGCCTCCAGAGCCTGGCTCCCTCCCGGGCTCCGGGGCTCCTGACTCCTTCCCCCACTCACCGCTCCTGCCTCTGCAGGAGAGTGACCAGGCAGGTGACCGTGGCCGACTCTAGGATCTGGAAGGGGGGCTTAGGAAAAGGTAGGGCTCCTGGTCTCTGCCTTCATGTCTGGTTTGCAGAGGGGGCAGCTAGACTGGGAGGAGCCCTCCCCTGGCCACTGGCTTCCCACCTCCTCAGTCCCCAGCCTAGTCCCCAGCCTCCTGCGGGGACTCCTGGGGACACACATAGACCAGCGTGCCTTGAACATGGCTTGAATCAGAGGAGCACGCTGAGAAGTGGGGTTGGCAGAGGGAACAAAGGACGTGGGGTCCCCTATAACCTCCCTATCGTCACCGCTTCCAGAAAGCAGCCTTAGGGCAGGGGCAGGACAGGTGCTGCAGGAGGCCCACAGAAGCAGCGAGTGGGGGGGTTGTTCTGGGTGTCCTGTAACCGTGTGTGTGTGTGTGTGTGTGTGTGTGTGTGTGTGTGCATGTGGACAAAAGTCAAAGCAGTGAGGAACGAGCTCCCCTGGACCAGCTCGTGAGCGTGGTCCCCGGCCCCGCCGCCACCTGGAACACCTTAAAGGTTTGGGAAGGTCATGAACCAGCCCTCGGTAGAAACGGCTTCTTGCTCGCCTTCAACTTTGCCGAGAAAAGTCTCCAATCCGAGTCAAGAAATTCTTCAATTACTTGAAATCTAAGATGTTTCATTTCTGAAATCCTGGGGTCTGTCTTTGAGTGGTTCTGCCAGCCCTCGAGGTCCCGGCCGAGCAGAGGACACCCACCAAGTGGCCTGGGCCCGCCTCCCTTCTAGAGAAATGAGGTCGGGGGGCCCCCAGAACAGTGGGCGCCCCTAGGAAGGCCTCTCTGGGGCCAGCGACCCTCCTGACGTGGGCAGTGCCCAGAGCCACACGGTGGGCGCCCACTGGCAAAGCAGGCTGGCTAGGCGGGCCACCGGGGCCCGTTACAAAGAGAAGGGGACAGTCCCTTATGACCTGGCTCTCTGGCAATGGACGGGGGGGCGGGGGGAGAAGAGGGAAGGAAGGAAGGAAAACAGAGAAAGAAAAAGGGGGGAGAGAGAGAGAGAGAGAGAATCAATAGCTACAAAGTCATTTTATTGTGGAGGGATTTGTACCAACTGCCCAGCAACTGTCCTGGGTTTTCTTTCTTTTAACTCAGAAAGATGGAGATATTTCCACCCCATACATACTGCCTACCTCATTCCTTCTTAATTGGTTTATTGTTTTACTTTCCTCTGTATCGATTCTTTAATTAAAGACGGACTGGATTCTGGCTTTACCTTAATCAAACACTGTAAAGAGGAGTTACCCTGCTTTGTTCCCGTCAGTGGTGACGCAGGACCTCCTGAGGTGGCTACCCATAGTCAGCACTTCCCTTGTTAAAAGATTTGCTGTCAGGCAAGGTGGGGCACATCTAGGATCCCAGTGGCTGGGGAGGCTGAGGTGGGAGGATGGCAAGTTTGAGGCCAGCCTCAGCAACTTAGTGAGGCCCTAAGCAACTTAGTGAGACCCTGTCTCAAAAATATATATATATATTTTAAAAGAGGGGTTGGAGGAGTGGCTCAGTGGTTAAGCATCTGGGTTCAATCCCTGGTACAAAAAAAAGAGAGATTTGCTTTGCCTCCTTTTTAAACAAGTAATGGGGGGGGACATATGGCCTTACCCATAGACCTTTGAGGCCCAGTGCAGATCCTAAGACAGGTTCCTAAAAGAGGCCTTACACCCGGGTCTCCTTCCACCTGGCCCGGTCTCCAGCCTCCTTTAGCTCAACGAGAGATGCCCCTTTCGGGAATTTTCTAGAACATTCTGTAACTCTGGGCCAAGCCGCGATCTGACGCCTCTCGGTCTGATGTGCTCTCGCACAGTCATGTACTGCACCGACCCGGGGGAGGTGAACCACTCGACCCGGCTGATCTCGGACCCCGTGCTGCTGGTGGGCACCACCATCCAGTACACCTGCAACCCGGGCTTCGTGCTGGACGGCAGCTCGCTCCTCACCTGCTACAGCCGCGAGACCGGGACGCCCATCTGGACCTCCCGCCTGCCCCACTGCGTCTGTGAGTCCCGGCGGCTGCTGTCGCCTCCTGCGCAGCTGCAGACCGGCTGCTTCTCACGAAGGGCTGGGGGTGGCCTTGTGCTGTAGGGAGGGTCTTCATCCTCATGGCCACCACCCCACCGTGGCCAGCGGGGACCAGGGCCCTTGGACTATAACATTTACGGTCATGAGACAGAGTACCCACCCAGTCCCCCTCTCTTCTTCCTCAAGTAATACTGCTGTCTTCATTTGAAGAATAGGGTGCTGAAGTTCAGAGAGGGTAATTGTCTACCTGGGGTCACACAGCTAGTTAACAGCTGAGGTCAGATATAAACTCAGAGCTCTTTAAAGCTTTTCCTAGGGACCCTGCTGGGCTCTCAGGAGTCACGCCATTGCTTGAAGAGAGCACGGGGTCATGTAGAAGGGACAGCGCTCTCCCAGTAGTTGTGGGGGTAGACATTGTCAGTGATGCTGCTATTTTTACCTAGGGTGCTGTGAACAGCCCCACTATGGATACAGCCAGGTCACAGTCAAGTGACTGCACAGGGACCTCCCCTCCCCACAGCGGCCCCTGGGGACCAGCCTGCATCACCTGGGCCTTGGGGCACAGTCAGCCTCTGAGCTGTGGCCGAGAGGAAGGCAGATCATGACAGTCACCGTGCACAGAAAGCGTGGGACACGTGTCATCCATATATCGTGATTGTGCGTGAGTGTGCATAGATGTTGTGTGTGTGTGCATCTGTGAACATATCTGAGGCCCAGGAGGACGTGGTGGAGGTCACGATGCTCCCTCAGATTCAAACTTGGGGCTCTCCCCTCCATGTCCACCGCTGCTCACGCCAGCCCTAACCCCGACCTCGTTTTGCCTTGGCTGACAGACGGGGCTCAAACTCACACGCCACATCCCAATGACACTTCAGCCTGTGGCCCTGCCCCTGAGCCTCGGCCACACCTCCTTCCGCAGTCCCTTCAGGTTCTGTTATGGGTTGAGTAGTATTCCTCAAAAGAGCTGGGTTAGGGTCGTGACCCCCCATAACTGTGACCTTTATCAAGATCAGGGCCTGCTGGGCATGGTGGCCCATGCCTGTCATCCCAGCAGCTCAGCAGGGTGAGGCAGGAGGATCATGGGTTCAAAGCCAGCCTCAGCAAAAGCAAGGTGCTAAGCAACTCAGTGAGACCCTGTCTCTAAATTCAAAATAGGGCTGGGGACGGGGCTCAGTGGTCGAGGGCCCCTGAGTTCAATACTGGGTACAAAAAAATGGGGGCCTTTCTTTACAGGTGTGACAAATTAAGATGTGGTCCTATTATATTGAGGGGGGGTGCTAATCCAGTGACCCGTGTCTTATGAGAGAGCCAAGCACTGGGGTGGGGCCCGTGGTTTCAGCTGCTGGGGAGGCTGAGGCAGGAGGATCACTTGAGCCCAGGACTTGGAGGTCAGCCTGGGCAACCTCGTAAGGCCCTGGCCTAAAAGGAGGCAGGGGAAGGGGCTGGAAAACTGTGTGCACGTGGGGACTCAGCCTGGGCCAGGCCACACGGGGACAGAGGCAGAGACAGGAGCTCCAGGCCTTGCTGGCCTCTACCGGAAGCAGAGACCCCATGGGTCTCAGGGCACAGTCCTGTTGCACCTTGATTTCTGCCTTCCCACCTCCAGAGCCCACGAACAGCTAAGATTCTGAGCCGCATCAGGAAGGGGATGATGTTCTCCCTTCCCCATGGCCTCCCCAAGAGTCCCCAGAAGCCGCGGTAGCAGCTCAGCGTCAGAGCCCAGGGATGAGCCGCTGAACACAAAAGCGTGTTTGGAGCACAGCAAGCGGAGCTGCCGTTGATGAAAAAGGAAAAGGGATTCCGCTCATGAGACGCGGCCTCCCCAGACCCTCCCCGGCTGCCGGCCTTCCTAGATCTCCGAGCAGCCAGCGGCCTCCGTCCCTGGGGCCCCATCTGCAGGCAGTTAGAGGCTCCCCGACAAAAAAAGACGCTAATGAGCCCGCCAGCCAAGGGTGGGCTGGGAGAAGCTGCCCTGTGGTGGCGGCTGGGCGGCAGGCAGCAGGCGAGGGTGACGGGGGATGACAGGGGCCTGTGGCAGGTTTTTGGACACACCCCCAGCTCTGCGGGGTGACTTTGGGCACGTAACTTGCCCTCTCTGGCCTCAGAGCCTTTGCCTGGGAAAAGAAGTCATACTGTCTGTGGAGCAGGGTATGCTCCCGTGACTTTAGGGTCTTGGATGACCCTGTCCATGATGGATTGGCCCCCTCATGGGGGCCTGTGGCAGCACATTTCGGCAGCATTACCTGGTGGAACAAAACTCCTTACCCCAGCACAGGGACGTGGGAGCAGAGGCGGCTGTGGGCCCGCCCCCTCCCAAGGGCACGCCCCCTCCCAAGAGCACGCCCCCTCCAAGGACACGCCCCCTTCCAAGGACATGCCCCTCCCAAGGGCACGCCCCCTCCCAAGGGCACGCCCCCTCCCAAGGGCACGCCCCCATGACCTAAAGCCTCCTGCCAAGCCCCGCCTCTTCACGGTTCCCGTCCCCCAACAGCACCCAGGTGGGACCAAGCCCTGACTTGTGGGCTTCCGGGAACCCCTGAGATTCACAGTGGGTAATGGCAGCAGCTCATCTGCTCAGTGAGCGCCTCCTGTATGCAGCCACATCAAAACCGAGGCCCCCACGCTTGACGCCCTGGGCCCACACACCCGGAGGCCCACTTAGGAGGCAGTCGGTGCGAACAACATTCAACCTGCTGCGTCTTGGTGGTGCTACACCTGGGATCTGAGGTGCCCCAGAGGCTCCTGGGCTCCCTCAGGAACGTCCAGAGGTGCAGGACGGGTCCTGAGAGCTGTGACCGCAGCTGTCCTTCCTGGTTGGCACCATCTGGGGGGTGACTGGGGCAGGTGGGCAACGCTGGCAGAGGTGGTTGGGGGTGGCCTGGAGGGATGTGTCCTCCCGGGCCCCTCCTCTCTGCCCGGAGTCTGTCCCTGGGTGAACTTGGGGATGACCTTGAGCTCGTGGAGCCGTTCACAGGGGTCTGACGGATGTCCCTGTGTTCCCTCAAAAGTTTTTGAAAGTCCTCCTATGAGTGCCTGGTGGCACCCCAGGGTGCCCCGGAGCAAAGTTTGGGAACCACGGTGCTAGCCCCTGGACACACGGCAATGGCCAAGCAGACATGATCCACACTCTCACGGACACTCTCACGGAGCCAGAGCCTACGGGAGCCAGGGAGGAGAAACAGGCCTAGGAGTGAAATAGCAATCCATCTTTGGGTCACCTCCTCCAGGAAGTCCTCCTTGACCCCAGGACTGGACTGTGTTTCACAGACCCTAGAGACCATCTCTCACGGCACATGCTGCGACTCATCGCAGCCATCTGTTGAGAGCTCATAGGATCAGACACCAAACTCGCTTACTGGGACGGCATTCAAACCTCCCAGGCCCTTCACAGAGCGCCCTGAACTCGGGGTATGAGGATGTCGCCGCTGGGCCCAGCCCCCGTCTGCAGTGGCCAGACTGCAGCTGCTGTCGGGGCTCATGGACAAGCTCCCCCCGTCGGCCTCCCTCGGCCAGCAAGTGGAGGCTGCTGAGTGTTGATCTTCATTTAGAAAAATACTGGGCTCTGAGAAAGCAAAGCCAGAGAATCTCGGGAAGACCCTGGGGGGTTAAGCACAGAGGGGCTCCTCATTAGAGAAAACAGGACACAGAGCGCAGTGGGTCCCGGTGACATCCCAGCCCTGCTGCTTACCGGTGGTGTTATGTGGCTTCAGACAAGCCGGTTTCCCCCTCCAGAGGATTAACAGCTGAGCATGGCCAGCACCGGCCTGAAAGCCCACAGTGGCGTGCCCGGCATGCAGTAGATGCTCAATGTACGCTGGGTGCCAATTCCCACTGAGTTCCAGTGCTGCACGACTCACGGGGTCTTCTACAAACCAGTCGTGACAGTCACGGCTTCATCTTGAGCATTTTGTCCACCTCTAAAGAGGAGCATCTCTTCCTTACAGAGAGGGAAACTGGAGGAAAAGCAGAAGAAGCGGGCAGGTTGGTGCTTCTGTCTGCAAGGCGTCAGAGGGTCCCCAGAGAGCGCAGGGTGACGTCACTCCAGTTACAACAGAGGGGTCAAAACCTCAGACCGTGGTGTTCAGAGAACCCTGGACCTGAAATTTCTAGAGAATCCTTGGTGGTGGAAAAGGGGGTGCACGCCATATCTAGGACACAGCCCCCACCACAAAGAAGGACCCGGCCCCAAATGCCAATCATGTCAAGATGGAGAAAACCCACCTGGGCTGACCTCATTTCAGGGTGTGGGGACATACCACTGCCCACCCACGATTCTGCTAAGCTCCGGGTGTTGGCCCAGCCCCGTCTATTGAACCGATGGGAAAAATGGAGACCAGAGACAGAAAGCAACTCATCCAAGGTCACACAGCAGACCCAGGTCTCCAGTTTTAAATTCAGGCCACTTTCTGGATCCCTCTCCTGCCACCTCCGGGGCTCTTCATGAAGGTGCACACTCAGAGAGAGCTGCTTCTACCAGGGAGTGAGTCCACCTGAAATCCTTCTCACAGTCTCACTTACACTGGGATCCAAGCTCAATCAGACCGACTTGAGAGGCCCAGAATCCTAGACTCACAGCTCAGTCACCACCTTCTTGGAGACTTTTCCTCGATGGGGAATTCCTGATGGTGTCTGGTCCCTAGGACGCTCTCGGTGAGCGTGGCTACTCTGGCCAGGACCGTCCCTCCCTCTGGGGGGGGCGAGGAGGATCAGAGGTGACCTCCGCAAGTCACCCCACACAGGATGGATGTTCCGATGTTGCAGAAATGAATTCATTAAGTGATTAATGAAAGGATCAGCCAGGCCCAGACACAAAGCAGCAGTTCTGAGCCCTGGAGGAGCTTCAGGATCCCCGAGGGATTTCGTAAGAGCACCCTGGGGCCTGATTGATGGACCTCAGGGGGCAGAGCCGGGTCCTGGGTAAGTGGGGAGACTCTGGCGCTCGGCCAGGGCAGCTGTGGGACCCACGGCCTCGCCTCGCCTGGGCCTACTACCATTTCCCCCTCCACCTCCAGGACTCCCCCTTCGTCACTCTCTGTCCCCTTGGCACAGGGCAGGCACCCGGGGTCAATTCATACAATACCATCCGTGAATGAATGTTTGTTAAATTACATAAAGGTACAGCCATGTCTGTCTCGCCCATTATCGCATGCTCAGGGACAAGAACAGTGCCTGGCACATAGAAGGTGCTCAACAAATATTTGCTGTGTGCATTAATCTCGGTGACTTCGTGAAAGAGAATTCCAAGGAAAGGTACCTGGAAATCTGCTGGGTAACACTGCCACCTGCTGGTCACTCCCCGCACTGCGGGTGCTACAGGATTTTCCTTCTCTGGGGGTCTCAAGAGGAAGCGTCCTCCGGCCCAGAAGGAGGGAGAGGAGGAGGAGACGCCCCTGTGCTGGCCCCTCACCTGAGATGCCACCACCCTGGATCGCCATGATAACTGCTGGCACTTCTCCATTAGACTGAGTTCTGGGATAACAGAAATCTTCCTTATCTGACTCCCCACTCTCCACCCAGCTCCCAGCACAGGTCTGGCACATAGTAGGTGCAGAGTCATAGTAGGACTGAAAAAGAAACCCAGAAAGCTAATCCTGGACTTCAGAGATGTATGCACTTGATAGTGTCGTGCAGGGACTCTAACTCCTCAACACTATGGTGCGTACCACCCGCGGTGCGTGTGCCTAGACACTCCGCCAGGGTCTGACTCTGGGCCGTGGACACTGGATCTGAAGCACGTTCACTCTAGAACCCTCCTTGAATTGAGTTCACATAAGATCATTCAAGAAACACTGACTGGAGCCGGGCGCAGTGGCCCACACCTATAATCCCAGCAGCTCGAGAGGCCGAAGCAGGAGGACTGCCAGTTTGAGGCCAGCCTCAGCAACCTAACAAAGCCCTGAGCAACTTAGTGAGACCCTCTCTCTAAATAAAAAATAAAAAGGACTGGGATGTGCCACTGGTTCAACCCTGGTACCAAAAAGAAAAAAAAACATTGATGGGGCACCTGCTGTATGCCAGGCTGCCGAGGACGCAGCCGTGAGCCCAGCTGGTATGGGGTTCGGGGGTCTTCTCAGAGGATCTGCAGAGGAATCATTAGAACAGGAGCTGGCCCGGTCCTGCCGTCGTCCAGTGTGAAAGGACGCAGCCCACCTGCTTATGAAATGGCGCATCCGGACTCTGTGTGAGGCCATGAGAAAACTTGTTTCCCACCCCACAACCCGTGGCCCAGGGGCACGCTGCAGGGCTGCTGAGCCCTGGCCCGTCCCTGCAGGCCCAGGAGCCTGATCCAAAGAGGATCTGCAACATCCCGACCCTCGCTCCCTCCCCTCACTCAGTCACCCCCCTCAGCTAAGCCAGGGGTCTCCTGAGTCTGGCCAACGGCACGTGCCTTTTGCTTTCTTGATCAAATTGTTTACACATTGATTGGACTCGGAGCACCTGGACCCTGGGCTCCGCAGGACAGGGAGCCTTCTGACCCCAGCCCCCCTGCAGGACTCCCCCGGCCTGCGGTCCGCGCGTGTGAAACAGATTCTGAATCAACACACGAATTCCTGCAGGGTCCCTCCTCCTTATCATGCCGCACACACCTCCAGAGCCCTGGACAGTCCCTGGACAGTCCCCTTTGCCATCCCTTCCCTGGATCTTGAGAGTGAGAATAAAATATCTCCTGGCTCCTGGTGGAGACAGTCATTGGGGTAGAAAAGAAAACCCCCCGTCAGCTCAGGGTGCCAGCAGCCCCCCACCCACCCAGGAGAGCAAAGCCCAGATCCTTCCTTAGCTGTGACGACTGCTGTCACCACACCCACCTGTTGGTTGGCTCCTTCTTTGGAAGGGTGATGGGCTGAGTGCCCACAGGGCCAGGCACAGCTTTGTGAGACAGCAGCTCCTCCGCCCCAGCCAACCACCGCCAGAGGCCACGGGGGCCCAGGATCGCCGGATCCCCTGACGCTTCAGAAGGAGCCAGAGATGTGGGATATCACGTGAAACATCCTGGTTTGCAAAAGCTCCGTGACTATTGGATTTCTGCCCCACACAGTGAAGAGTGAGCATAGAGGTCACAGTCACAGGGAGAAGATCCCGGTCAGGCCCGTGTACAGCACGTCTCCCACCCACAGGTTCCAGGGGCCGGGGGTTAAGTCCCTCTGGGCCCCTCTGTGCTCTGGCACATAGTAGCTGCTCAGTAAACACCTGCTGACTGGGCAGACAGAGTGGCCGTCTTACAGCCACGGCGTGCGGTGACGTCCCAGTCCCTCTGACGTGTTCTTTGGGTTAAGAGCAGGTCTGGGTCCTACCCACCCTCAAAGAGACGCAGATGTCACAGGAGACGGGGACTGAAGGGCTGTCTAGTCGTGAGTCACCCGAGTCACCTATGCATAGGAGGAGAGAGGGCGCACCAGGGAGGGACCCCCAAGCTCATGCTCCAGGGAGGGTGGCGCATCCAGCAGGCAGAGCCCCACTGGCTCCAGGAGACGCAGAACAGGAGGCGGGAGGAGGAGGGGCTGAACCTGCGGGAGCCGCGTCCTCTCCCTAGCGTTGGGGTCATCGGGTGGGGTGGGAATGGCCCCCGCTCCATCTGCACCAGGGGTCTGCAAGGGCAAGACCCCAGGAATTGTCTACAAATCACTCAGACGCCGCAGGAGACTTCCAGAACCTTCTCTCTTGAGTGGCACTACCAGGGGCCATCCGA